GGTGTTTAATTTGTAATTATTAAGGATGTATAATGATTTGGGGGAATATTCCCCTATAGAGAATTTTAGTGTTAGTAGTAGTCCCTGACAGGATTTATCGTTGATTTACATGCTCCACTACAGTGCTATGCAACATGATAACGCAATATGGTTTTAAAAAAAATAATTAAAAAAAAAAAATATCGAAAGGTACTCAATCATACTACGAAACTGAGAAAATCCAAACTAGTGCTAGTTGGTCAGTACTCCGTGTAGGAGAGACTCATATCCCTGAAACTGGTTTTTGGGAGCAAAGGTCCAAGAGAAACTTAAGTTATTTTGGTAGCTTTCAAATGAAAGGCTTTGTATTTATGATTTCAAGTGAAATGGAACAAAATTTGATTAAAAGTAGCAAGTGTGTGCAACTTCCCGTAACTTTAAAATTTAATTTCTAATTATGCGTTGAGAAATATAACTAAAGTCACCTGCATACCAATATAAATGTTACTTACAAATGAAAAATTAGAATACCTTTGTTTCCCTGATAGCTTGGCTCATTAAGCAAATTAAATGGAGTCACTGATGCTTTGCAATAAAATGTTCGCTGTCTGTTTCTAAATCAATGTTAATAACTTTCACTATTTTTACCACTGCAATTTTTCATGTCTCTGACATATTATTCAAGATGTTTCATGGGAAGCACACTGTGAGAGTAGGTAAGGCTTGGTAGGAGGGTCTGAAGCTTGAGCCAGGAGAGGGCGCGCTGCAACTCAGCCGGAGTCCAGCAGCCAGGTGAGAAATTCGTAACTGCACTAGCAAGTTTCACAAATTAGTCTTCATTTTACAGCAAAAGAAATTTTAAAACCTTTCACTCTTTCACTGTATTCTGCTAACAGTTTTTGGCTAGGTTTACTAAACACTGTTACTTGTTCTCCCAAAAGGCAACCATTATCCTAGGTAAAAGTATTAAAAACAAGCCTTCATTTAGAGAAAAGGAACCGTCGTAACAGCTTTTACTGTTTTACACATTCAGCTGTGTTTAGAGTACTTCCGTACTAAATTTCTTATTCTTTTTATTGTCCTGATTAGACTGCAATTATTAAAAACTTAAAAAACAAAACAGCAAGGCCCCAAGTACTCATACTTTACTGCAATTACTTCCGAGTGCTCAAGCACTTCTATTTTCCTTACTTTTGCATCTGTTGTATGAGATTCCTACACTGTCTCAAATCACAAGGGAAATCATCGGACACATTATAAAGAAAGTATTTGTCCAGACCTGGGGGAGGCTGGTTAGCTCACCAGCAGGTTAGTTCACCAGTTCATCTTCCTACTATCTTAAGTTTCTGTCAGTTTTCCACATCTGTCATTTGAAAGAGACCAGGCTGCAGACATCATTATACAGCACAACTACATTGTTTTTTCTTATGACAACATTTAACTGGAAGATAACAAAAATACAGTAAAGTTTAACTTTATCTAGAGGTCCAAACATAACTGTCATATGAGCTTTCCAAATCTGGTTAAGTATGCTGAGCCTGTGGACAGTATGCAGTCTGACATGTTTTACTGATTCCTGAGCCTGTGGACAGTATGCAGTCTGACACATTTTACTGATTCAAAAAATACATGTAAGCTACAGTTTTCTGGAATACAATGAAAAGCTTGATCCCAGATCTGACATGTACTTGACGATTCAATAATCACTTCAAACACTCCCAAATATTTTATTTCAGCTTTTTAACCCTAACAATGGAAAACTTAATTTTTCACTCAGTTCTACCTTCGGTACACTCAGCCAATGGCTTACAAAAGTAAGCTGTCAGTAAAGAAACAGAGACCACCAACAACTACTAGAAAACACTGAATTTTTCAGTAGTCTGATGCAATATATAGCAGAAGAAATTAGTTTTTTTTTTTTCAGAAGTTAAATTTTTTTCACCTGAGAACATAGGTTGTGTTGAAACACCCAGCAGAGACCCAAAACTCTGCAAACATATTTCACAAGGCTTAAAAAAATCTGGTAACTTCTCCAACAGAACATGTAGCCATACAAACTAGCACACGTAAAAGAGCAACCACGCATGCATGTTTCCTAGAAAAGAAAGAAGACTAAACACTTCCTTCTGTAATTGGGTTTACAGTATCAGATGCCGCAATACACAGGAGTGTTATGAAATTATTATAAACCAATTTGATCACACAGAGCATAAAACCAAATACAGAAATATTACTTGAACTTCTAACCTTAAAACATAAGAAATTACAAGATACACCTTTCTAAGAGGCAGAGTGAGCTGATTTTAAGACTGAAATTTCAACAAAGATGATGGCTATGCTGAGGTGGGATCACTGAGTCTACTATGCAAATCTAAGCAGAGCGCAAGACAGTTGCTTCATGAAGGAGTCAGTATACGTAATAGCAATTAAGCAAGATTTGAGACCGTACAGTTGAAGATGTCAAAGAGGTTAGTTAGAGGGGACAACAGTCATTAAATGGAAAACAGACTACGCTCCTGCAGAAGGCATGCTCAGGAAAGGATTATAGGGCTGAAATGGTAGCATAGACACCGTGATTAGTTGATAGGTCCTTGCAATCAAAAAGGCTCAAATGTAAACTGAGGTACTTGAGGCAATTTGATTTGCTAGAGACTGATTAAGTAACTGGGAATCTGTTAAGCCAAAAGCTGAAAAATTTGAGATGAGAAGATGAAAATAGTCTCTCTACAAAATGAAAAGAAAAAAAAAGTAAATACTACAGTAGAAACAACTATAACATGGAATCACCTGAACAAATTTTTTCCAATAATTGGAACAAATTTTGTCCCCATTCTTTTTTTTCTAATATGCTTCTCATCCAGTCTCCTTAATTTTGTTTATAATTATAGCACTTCAGCCTTAATTTCTCTAATTTTTTGTTTAAAAACGAAAAAAATCTCTTTGCAAATAAGCTGAAGAAAGGAAAGCTTTCTTTTTGATACAAGAACGTAGGTGTGGGTTGGCTAAAGTAGACCATTTATTTCTTGAATCATTTATTTTGCACATCTGAAATAGCTGGGAATACAGTTGAGGGCCTGGCTGCAGATGGTAACACCGACAGGTATACCAAAACAGAAGTGAGAACATCATTAAAAATTAAATAAAATCTATTAAAACAATAGCTCTTTTTTTTATTATAAACCTTAGTTTCAGTATAAATAAACTTTCTGCAAAAAGCATAGTAAAAATTGTTCAGAAAGTTTCAATTTCAAAGCATGAAAAAAAAAATCAAAGTAAGCTCTGAGGTAACATCCAAAGGCCTGGGGTAAAGCTTTTGTGCTGGTTTTGGCTGGGGTAGAGTTAATTTTCATCACAGTAGCTAGTGTGGGGCT